TCGGTTCCGCAGGCCACAGATGCTGACAAACGAACATGATCAGAAACAGTACAATGCTGTAAATACAAGCATCCCGATGCACGAGTAAGAAACATGGTTGCGAGGGAGGAAAACAAAGCATCGAAATTCCCCAAAGGAATCGAAACTAAGACATTCGGATTCGGCGCCCCGATGCTCTGCCACTGAGCCTCAGATAATTCGTTTCGTTAACCCTTCAACTCCTAAAAGTCACTCGCATTTAATTTCTCTTTACAATATCAGCTCTGAATCAAGCATTAGGGTCATGAGAATAAAGGAAATGATCACCAACGTAAGATATTCTTGATTGTTAAACAAATTCTCCTTGTCAGCACCTTAGGAAATGTATAAAGAACAGTATGGAGAATATGCATACTGATGTTAGGGTGCAAAGGGATAAGGTAGGCCATTACAAGGTCTAGACGTTATCTTTATTTTTCAATATCTTCTTCAATAATTCTACTCAAAGGTACAGCCCCCCTGCACAGTTTAGTTAACAAAATTCAAGATTTTTTTCATTTTTCCAAAACCACATAACTCTAATTTCCCAGACTCAAAGTTGTAAATGTATTTATATAACCTTAGCGGAATAGCGGTCGTCAAACGTTTAAATTAAAAAAAAAAAATTGCTACATGATCACGATGCTAAAAAGTTTGGTCTACGATCATTCATGTGAATTCAGCCGGCCAATTTCGCAAAATTTTACAGTGCAATGAAGCAATAGTTACTGCTTCGAAAAACCTCCAGATGTCTCTTCAAGTTGACTAGAAAAGTTGCCTTTGACTTACACGCGGGCGAAAAAAGCGTACTGACCGTTTACAAGAAATTCTATTCTTACCATGTGATAAAAACAGCAAACGTGTTTCGTTGCAAATGAGTCAGTCTTGGCGCTGGTAAGCAACAAGTAGCATCAGGAACTTGAAGGTATTGATTGCAATAATAATTCAAAATCAGATTCAGTTCCTGAAAAACAAGAAATCATAAATTCATGAGAATCCAATCGACGGTCAATGCACAGGTGACAAGAACGAATGAAAAAAATTCTGTAGTTAAGTACTTGATACAACAAGGGAAGTAAGATTTTCATTATATCTGCGTTCCAATTGCGGGGGGGAGATTTCAATTCAAAGAGACTTTTGAATTTAGCGGGGCGTTAAGCGAAATACGGCCCACTAAATTAACCAATCGTAGCGCAAGTTCTAACTGACACATAACAAATAACATTATGTACCAGTGTTGTTATTGGCTGTCCGTAATGAAGACCATCTGTTGATGACTCCGGTTTCCTTTTAGCGGCATGAAATGACGACCACATTACAGTCACAGATGAATTTTCTTGCTGACTGCGGCAAAAGATAGAGTTAGATTTTGTAAAATAACTGTTGCAAAGACCATACTGAAATTTAGATTCAGAAAATTTCTAAAAGCGGAAGCGTTGTTAGAAACAAGCCGACAAAATTCAAGGGGGTGTTACCCACACTGACAAGTGGTTAAAATAAAGAGATTAAGAGCTTCCTAAATTTTACGATAACTTAACGTGGCCCCAAACAGGGTCACCAAACTCGTTTTGGGTTACAGCTCTTTAAAGAGAAATTCAACGGTGTTCACTCATTTTCACACATGAGTATCTTAGCTAAGAAGGTAAGCTACCAGCCAAATCCTGAATTTTCAGTGTCTGAAGGCTGAATGAATCAAATTCGGATAGTTTTGGAGTGGTTTAGTTGGCGGAGTCATTTTATCATCAATACTGTTTACTTCTCGTAGTTCCTTCGAAACGAAACTTATATCGCATGTATTTTGGAAACGGGATGTTATCAAATCGTTTAAATAGGCTACTTAAACATTATCTTCTGTATATGTAAATGTAAGCATCCCATAAAGGTTGTTTTAACCTTCAGGAATACATGTACCTCTTACTTCACCAAGATAATTGGGTTCAATCAACTGAGTAGATAAT